AAAAAAAACTCAAACAGATTTGTGCAACCGAACTTTGTTTTTTTCTTTTTTTCTTTCCCATTAATCATCTACTGACCTCGGGCTTATCTGGTGACACTTGAGGAGGGACCTGACCCAGAGGTTGCAAATCACTGGACATGGCTTTTGCAATTGTATCTAACGTATACAAGAAATGAGCCTACATCAGCCAGATGCAACAGTAAAACACAGGAACAGGATATTAGCACCATTTGCTCATAACATCCTAATAAAGGACCCCAGAGCTCACTAAGCACCAGCAGCTTGTTCCTCGTCCCACATGGACACACTACCAAAGTGGTCAACAGGGCCATGTTGAGCCCATGTGGAGCTGGGGGGGACCATGAGATGCCTGCGACAGCTGGACGTAGGAGTTTGAGCAGTGAGATCAATGATCGAGTGACAATTCTATGCTTCCACCATTTCATGAGAGTTTGGGATATTTGCTTATATTGACTGGCTCCTGATTGATTGGAGTATACGTAGCGTGGGGGGAAAACAAATGCATCTAATTTCCTGCTGAACACAAAGTCAAAAACATGTTAACTTTAAATGTAATCAAATCAAATAATGGCAGCGACACTTGCATGTCAGAATTAGATTAACACATTTGTCATCCGTGTAAGATTTCCTGTGCAACATTTTGAATGCATAACCTGATTATATGAAATGCCTGTTGTTTTTTCTTTCCTCTAATTAAAGTCAAAATGCAAAATTAGCCATCTGGCCTCCTGTTCTTTCATAGTCGGAGTCTTCTGATATACTGTAACCTGCAGCAGCATGACAGAACAGAAATCTAAACCAGGTGCACATGTCCTTGATGTTCCTCACATATAAAGCACAACCTAAAACAACTAAAACAAAAGGCCAGAGGAGGAGACAAACACTAACACAGAGCAGGAAATATACTTAAATTAAATAATCAACTGTTATTTGCATATCAAAGATCTATAGATAGTAACAGGCATTAAAGTAAGCAGGCATATGTTGCATTGTGATTTATGCCAAAGCAGTTTTTGTGATGTGGCCCAGCTGTGTTTTGAAATGTCAATGCATGCATATTAACAATATTATATCGTTGCACTAAGGGCTACAGAATAAGGAGGTTAGGCATACAAGGAAAATATCTCTAGGACATACCTCTGTTAAGAATTCAGTTCTTAGTCGAGGTACTTAAAATAATTGGCCTATATTTGGGCAGTACTGTATCTGCACAATAATGAAGCAAATCAATCATTGTGCTTGGTTAAAGCAAAAGAAAAAATTGTGTGCTTCTAACTTCGAGGGGATTTTCTTACTTTGAATTCTATCTTACTTTGCCAAAAATCACTGTGCTCTGCATGTTAAGCAGACTGGAATAGAGATTCCAAATATAAAATACAAATTTGTTTAAGGCTCAGGAAAATGTTTCCACTCTGGAGGGATTAAAAATAGGAATCAGCTAAAAATGGGGGATGAAGGGGGTCACTTCAATCACTGCTTTCACTGCATGTTTATATTATCCAGAGCGGAGTCAGTGACTGGGAGCAAGGGTTGACCAAAAACCTGTTTCACACTAAATGTTTTGCCTGCTTTTCCGTTTCTTTAATCAAAAGCACATTTTCCTGTCCTCTGTAATAAACGTCTTCCAAGATGGTGTATGACCAACGATTTCAAAAAGCAATAATGCAGAGAAATGGATAAACCCCCCCTCACTCACTTACACTCACATCCCCACACACACACACACACACACACACACCCAAGATGCTCTGGAAAAAGAAACTGTGTCGTCTAGTAAAATTCCATCAGCATACACTCAAAAAACGCCATAAAAACCTTTTCAATCTATATGTTAATGCCACGAATTAAAATTTAATAACATGAGATATTGAAAAGCAGACTTGAATTATAAAAAAATAAATCCTGAAAGATCAGGCCCCTAAAATTAGAAATTCAGGGCGGCATCCGGCCTGCTTCTAAACCCTTGTAGGCTGGAAGATTAAATTTTTGATGAAAATCAAAATTACACTGCACACTGACACAGGCGCAGCAAACCTGGCACTATTGTGATTTATGGATTCATTAAACCTGCGGGAGTTTCACCCCTCCCCTTTTCACTCAAAGAAATGAGATTTGCTTTGCTGAAAATTTGTATTTTCAGAAAAGCTATTCAGACTCTGCTCTACCTTCAGAAAATGGTCAAGGAAAAAAAGAAGCTTCTGTGTACATAACCACTGCACGTAAACAGGCCTAATTTTCATTGCTGCAGCAATTGAACATCCCTATGCATTATTCATGAAACCAATAAGGTTCATTTTTACAAAGGAAGAGGCAGGCAAAATATGTGCAGAATGCACAGATTTTTTTTTAATGCAGCAGACCCAACCCTGAAAAGCTGTTCCCCAGAGACTCATTTAAGTGAAGCCATTTTCAACATTCCATTAAGAAAATAAAGGAACATAAAATGTTCACTGTGTCCAAGAGGATGCACAAATCAGAAATGTGCAATTGTACAAAGAAGGGAATTGAAATGACATCAAAGACAGGAAGTGTTATTCAAACAGTCTTCAAAAACAAAACCCCTGTACTTGGTTGTTTAATTAGAGCAGCAACTGTGTTTCAACCACAGTAAACCACGGACTGTGATATGATCCCGCACCATCTTGTGCTTATGGGAGCCTGGAGGGACAAGTTTCACCTCTCTATCCAAACTATTCGCTCCAAATATCCTCAGTGAAACAAAGCTTTTGTTCATGTAGCAACAAACCAGCATTCCTCTTACCTTACTTAAAATGAGAGCACTCCCAGAATGCAGTTCCTATTAACCAAATCAGGGGTTCTCATTCTAACAGTATAGCATGATCCTTGAGAGCTTTAGAACTTATTGCATAGTCCTTCAGGCATTCTGCATGTAAACATTCCCATCACTTTGACTGATCCAGCCATATTAAACTCATGACACTGGTTGCCTATCTTCCAGTTTGTACTTTAACTGAACCTCCTGCATTTTGATTAGACTTTGCAAGCAAAGGTCAGAATTTACACTCACATTTTGCATAAGCAGACACAATTTCCACCAGCTCTTTAAATTTATACATATTTGAAGGTCAGCATTAAAATTACCCACAGCAAAAAATGGCCTTCACAGTTTCCCTTACATTAAAATAAAAGCAAGCCATGCAAGATGGGAAACTGTTTGGCGTCTGCAGGATTAATATAAACAGTAGAGGCACTGGTTGTAATTGTTTTTCCTGCCCTCAAATTATGCTGACTTGGGTCTTTCTTCTTCCACTGCTGTTCAGTTCACTTTGGACAGTTATTTTCCGCTTACAGATTTCCAATCTCTACAAGTAAAAAGTCCAAACTGTTCCATGTTTACCAGGCAGTAAATTACATCTGTGCATAAATCATAGCACACACACACACACACAGACATCAGAGAAATGCAAACAAAGAGAAACAGCTAAATTACAGTTCATGATTGTGAGGACAGGGTGAACAGTTTGAATCTCTGTCATGTGTAACTATACGACAAGATTTTAAAAATAAAAAAAATGTTTAAATCGCAAAATAATTCAAAACCAGAATATTAATTATGCAGAAAGGATCAGAATCAATTTACACAGTGCTTTGAATGCAGCTTGAAATGGTCATGTTTAGCATTAATCAGCACTGCATACACATGGTGCATTTAAATGCAATGTTATTTAAGAAATGTAAGAATAATCTGACATGCAATTCAATAAACAAACCTCAAAAACTAGTCTCATTACAATTTTTTTCCCATTTCTCCAAATGACTGCCTACAGGTGGCGCCAACGACACCCAGATTCACAATCCTGTATATTCCCAAAAATAAAAAATAAAAGTCGAAATGGATTTTAGACAGAACGACACTCTGGTGTTTTTACTTGCCCGTAAACACTGAGCACCGAAGCGTCCGATGCGACCCAGAGTGGCCGCCTACGGTGCGTGACTTTCGGGGGAGAGAAGCAACTCCGGCGAGGCTCAAATTTGCAGGAAAAAAAATTTCACAAAACATGGCTGCAGGAGGTTTTTGTGTTTCAGATTGTTCCTCCCCTCATCGTCCTTCATGTTGCCACACTATCAACCGTGGTCGCCACAGATCTACGGATACATGCCCGGTGGTTTCCGGCTAGTTAGCGATTAGCTAAAACTAACTAGCTGCCCACCCGACTAGTCAGCAGTTTACACGGAAACTTCATTAAGGGGGAAATTCATCCCGAAGATTAGGGCACATTTCGGGATTGGCTTCGCAGCCCCTGCACCTGGTTTTTGGGGGGCAGACACCGCCGCCAGCTCGCCCGGTTGATAACGAACAGAAAAACTTGAACATCCGGAAATTTCCTCAAATTTAGGATTTTTTTTCCAAATGAGAAAAAACAACAGAGTGAAACGGGTTGACATTACCTCCAGAGACGATGCAGCTCATGCGAAAACAGCCTCCCCGCTCCAGAAGGCTTGCCTCCCGCGAACCAGAGGCGACTGCTCAACTGCTTCCTCCGGAGGAAAAAAAAAAATTGTGAATTAGTTATGAGAAATTCCAAATGTCAAAAAAAAAAATTCCCACCACGACGTTTTTTTTTTTTTTCCCTGCTCCTCCTCCTCCTCGACACGCTGCGTTACATTTTAAGAAAAGAGTAATGGCGTAATGGAGCCGTGGGTTTTAAGGTTTTCTTTACTCGGGCCGTGCTCAGCGGCTCGGTTCCGGCCGAGCACCGGGGGTTCCTGCCGAAGCACCGGGGGTTCGTGCTGCGGTTCCTCCTCCGGTGGAAAGTCTCGTCCGCCATATACAAGCGCAGATTCCGAAATTGCAGCGGCGACCTGTGTTTGAGCTTCATGAAAAAAAAACACAAAAAAGAAAAAGTCTGAGAATCAGACTGGAGGGGGGAAAAGGGTTGGACGACTGTGGAGTTACACGGGGAGAAAGAGGAGGCTGGGAATTACGCAGAGGGGAAAGATTCCGATCTGAGCCGATAACGTTATGATAACACTTCACTGGATGTTTCATTCTATAAACACGAGCTGCTCATTTGAAAAGCATCATTTAACGAGGCTGGTGTTTAATCACGTTTTGTTCAGGGGTCATTCCCATGTGAAAACGTCCTGCAGGTGTTTCCAGGTGTTTTCACTGAGAGGTAAAGTCCCATCTCTCCGTTCTGAAGCCCCCCAGCACCGCTAGTTCAGTGTGATGAGTTAAAGCAAAAGTTAAACTCACAACATCCTCGACAAACTGTTTCTTCATCCATGAATCCGCGGATCTTTCTGCTTTTTCACCGCAGCACACACCAATAGTTCATTTTTTCAGGGCAAGTTTTGGTCGGCCAACAACTTTTAATTTCAAAACCCAGAATTAACTCAAAATTAACTTTCTGTCTTTTTTTCCCTTTTGAAATAGTTAAGTTTGTGTTCATACATATAAGTGTATGTTCCAAGATATTCATTTTGGTCTAAAATAAACAGTGTTTCAAATACATTTAATGTGCAGGTATAAGCTGCATATGAAAATATTTACTAGATAATACTTATACTAACATATATAAACACAATATTATGAAATTAGCAATCTTTTAACTATTATTTTTACTATAATTAATAGTATTACTTTATGTCTTCATTCATTCAGTGTTGAGGATCACGTGGTCCAAAGTGGACAGTTCAGTCATATGAAGAATTGATCAAATTCATCAATTGTCAAATTCATGATTTAATTTTTCATCAAATTATGCAGATAATCCTTCAATTTATTAATTCAGTTTTCACTTTATGGATTGTATGCATCAGAGCATGTGTTCAATGATTTATTATATATACTGTTGCAATGATGGACACGTTTAAACTGCAAAAAGACAGATACATATCCAGAAATGTGAAATACATTAATTCAATGTTATTGTATCTATGTTCTTTCTGCCTGTAAGACTTATACCTAAAATATTAGCTTTTTATTTTGGGTGGTTTTACTGTTTTTATATTGGATTTATTTGATAAACTTTTTTCATCCGACTGTCCGACTGTCTTACAGTGACTGTAAGAGTGAAAACAAAACCAAAAGCGAACGCAAAATATGAAACATGGACATAAAAAACAGAAATGAATAATGAAAGTAAAAAAACAAAATACACACAAAAAACCAATGATGCAATGCATGTCTATTTGCCTGCTTTATGACTTCTTCAGCAGAACCAAGGAAAAGTACATATGAGACGGTTTTAAAGTCAAACAAAAATATGATACAGCTACAAATCTTACTCTTTAAAAACTGAGTGTCCTTACATGACAGGTTCTGAGGGAAGTCAGCAGGGACTCTGAGGGGCTGCAGGTGTCCGGTGCTTTACAAGTCACTTCACTGCCATGTGACATTACAGCCATAAGTCTCATCTCAAATGGGTTTTTTGGGGGATATCACAGTAAACATGCACATCAGCAGAAACAGCATTTCTGCCATGAGGACAAAGCATCATGCTGATCCTTCTCTGAAGCAGGCCTCAAGGGACTTCTGGGGGTAGGAGGTCAAATGTATGCAGGAAAATACGAGGAATTCTGAAGAAGAAAGAAACTTGCTGTGGTCTGCAAGAGAACTTTATTTTTCGTTTCAAGACATCAATCCAAAACTTTAAAAACCGCAGCTACACAGGAATGGATGAAAAACAACAGTTCGGTGTCGGAGTCGGAGTCCAGACCTCATCCTATCAAGCATTTCTGGTCTGTTCTTGGAAACAACTGACTCATGCCTCATGTGAATAGAGTAGTGGGGGGAAACTGAAGCTTGTCCTGATGTAAAAAACTGACACCGACAAACCACGAAGCCATGAGGCTGTCATTGGTTAAAAAAGGTGCCTCTGCTTTAACATGGACTTTAATGTCTATACAATATTTTAGTTTGCTTCATCTTTGCACTAAAATCAATTTCTAATGAGTGGAGTGCAGTGCAGTGCATTTCCTTATTTTTTTCTATTTTTGTCTGATAAAAAACCCCAATTACACAAATTGATTTGATGATTTATTGTTTTAACACAACACAGGAAGTTTAGGAAGGAAATGCATTCTTTATGCTCACTGTATCACAAAATATCTTCCCTTTTGTCATGAGTTCAGCATTAATTATTTTAACATTAATATCAAAGGATTTTTTAACCTTACTCCTTTAAATTACTCATACAAGATAAAACAATTCCAGAAACGATACCACTGACAATTCCACCATCAGACAATATTTAAATTTACAGTATATAAATTGGGTGAAATGAAAGTAAATTAAAAAGCCAAATAAGGCAGCAGGAGAAGTATCCTGCCAACAATTTAAATCAGTTAAACGTAAAGTAATCCCTCTCATTATCAAGGGATGATTTTGATGAGTTTGAATGAGTTGTTTTGTGTGTGTGAATTCTGTCCCAGGTTTACTCAGGAGTTAGTAGCTGGTGCTGATGCTGATGATTCATTGCATCAGTGATGTACATTATGATTTTGCTCACTCACTTGTGCTGCAAGAATGTTCCCTGTCCAGCAGAGAGCGCCAGCACGCCAGTGAACAGTCACTTCCATTGCTCCTTTGCAGTTGTCAGTGAGTTCACTGCATCTGTTCATTAATACCTGCTCCTTTCCCCCCCTCCTGTCTCCCTCTGCTGTTGAAGCTCTGCACAGGTCTGACTCATCTCATCAGTTTCACATACATTACCTCTGAAGCCCATCCTTATGCCTATGGCCTGTTTCTCTACATTCAAAGATATGTGATCATGAATCCAGCAATTTCATGCAGGAAAGTTAGGCGGCACATAAAAGTGAAAAGTACAGTAAATATAGTCCACTTATCAGAGCACTGTGGGGATATTTACGTGGCACTGGGAGATAAACTAAAGCATAAAAGCAATGGCAACAGGCAACGGTGTGTTATTGCAGCCTCGAGAGCTTTAAACGCCGAGCGTATATATTCTGGGGCCAGACTATTAAGTGGTTTACAGAATATCACAGTTTTAGTTTAAAATTTTGAACTGGCTAAAAAGTAATGTCTTATGGTTAATAAAAATGTGATGACCTTAATGTTAAATAAGTCATCACGGCTGGTGTGGGCAGCAGTTTCCAGGTCTGACTGGGACAGAGAAGTGACCACATTTTTGGGGAAATTCCTGAAATGGTGGAAGGTTATTTTGGCAGTGCTGCAGACTGACGTGCAAAAACGTCTTTCGTCATCTTTAATTATAACGGAGACACTTTTTTTTGAGGGACAGGAAGTGCTTGAAGACACTGAAAAAAAAAAGCTTGATCACTTTCTAATGACACTGAGATGTGTGTATTTAGTCACTCCATGTTGTTACAAGAGGTTTTCTACTTATTCCACAGTGATGACAACAATGTTTGAGGTCTAATGTGCAACTGGGACGAGAGTCGAAGCGTGACGGGTGTTTCAGGAAAATCAGGGCTGAATTAAACAGTTTTTCGTCGCAGCAGAAAACAAATTGAATCCATTAATTTATACTGGGGGGGGGGAGCTTTTTTGCTGCTGAAATAGTTGCTCAGCACATTTGTACACAATAAATCTTAATTTCATGTCTTCAAGACAAACAAAACACATTCTACCTTCCCTCTTGCTCTTCGTAGCTCAAGGTCGGTCTGACCTCCTCTCAACCTACTTTCAGAGAAATATTCTTTCAACTGGCAGAAGGACCAACAGGTGAGAGTGGGGGGGATGCTATTTTTTTCCTCGGTGACCTACTTGAGCTCGAGAGCCGCCAGACCTTTGCTGTGTGCATGCTCAAGAGCTCAGAATGAATTAGCGAGCAGTTCCCACCAAACTGACTTCACCGAAATCTGGCTCTTCCAAAATTTGACAGAAATATCAACAATTTGCAGCAAAGGTCATTTTGTGCCATGGAAAAAATATTCAGAACTAAAGAATGAGTTTTTGTTGCTATTTCACAGAAAGACAAAGCTATTGTTTATCTGAAGATTACTGTATTCTCAGTACTTTTCACTTTTAAATACTATAAATCATTATTGATTCCTGAAGAAAAACCTGTGTATGTATATTTTGCATGTGTATGTTATGTTAAAAGTATTGACTCTCTTTATCCCCACATGTCTTAACCTTGGATTACTTTAGAGATTAGAGATATCTAGAGATTGTTTCCCTTCAACTCCCATTCTGGCCACAACAATAGTAACATTTTTTGCATACTTTCCATTATGGACAGAATGGACAACAATCTACTTCTTTACCACTGGGGAGATGACAGGAAAAACTGTATTCCAGAATTTCAAGGCCAAAGCAATCACACACAGATGTAGTTGACTTGCACAAGAATCTGCTGGAAATTGTCTAAATGTAATAAACATGCACTCATGAGAGGTAAATACTGCATGGCTGCACAATGTAGATAAAAACATAACCTTTCCTTTCATTGCTGAGATGATTTTATTGCCTTGTAAAATCATTTGTTAATAAAAACCGTCATTTCAAATCATAACAGTTTTCATCACACTCGCACGCACTCTCACCCTCAAAGCCCAATTTATTTAGTCCAACTTTAAAGTGATTAAAAATTTTTACAGATATGTTAAACAAATCTTTTCATTACCTTTATTAACTCTTGGTTGCAACAGATCTTTGCAGGAGACATTTTGCCACGGTAAGAAAAGTTGCTGCTACAATTAACAATGGCTGCGTTACATTCAGCTGCCCCTGTAACACATGAGAGCGAGACTGTGAGCCAGCGTGCACAACACCAGGACTCTGAAACTGATGCAGCTAAACAGACGTAAGCTGTAATTATATTCTTTAAAAATATACTGTACATGGTAATAAGTAACACACAGTAGAAGACCTTAAAGA